AGATGTGTATAAGAGAGAGATATTATACTCATGTATTATTTTTAGCACAATTCTACTATGTACCAAAAAATGCAGTTCCGCTAGGCTCGCACGATCCCAATCGCGACATGAGTGAGTTCGTTCGAGGCTTGCGGTGCGTAAATATATTAAAGGCACGTTGAAAACACTTACTGTCTCAATATAGTGCGTATGAAACCGCCGTGTATGAAATCATACATCATGATTTTATTTATGTTACATTCTAGCTTCTCTCACAACAAAAGGGCCTTGGCAAATTAGTGCCGTCGTGAGCTTGGGGCACCTCTGCAAATATGTCGGCATTTAGCAATGCCGACAGGGCTCATTTTTTACTAGCCCGGCGTACAATGGCTAGTAAAAACTGCTCCAGGCTAGTCAACCTCCCTTCGTTTTTGCCCGGTCAGCTAGTGAACAAGGCCTACAGTACAGCCCGAAACTATTGCACTTTTTCCTGCGCGCAGGCTTCGTAGATACATCGTAGCCTGATATAAACAATCTAAGCAAGCCTACGAAGCAAATCTACGAAGCAAAAGTGTGTTGTTTATTTGTACGTGCAGAAAGACTGCTGTAGCTTACAGAGCTGTTTTTTTCAATAAGAAAAACGTACGCTTGATTTGATGGGAGTCTCCAATTTCGACGACAGGAACTTGTTTGTACTGGTATATTTTTTTCAATTTATTAGCCTAGGGCCTAGCCTATTTATTTACAATTATTTTACCTCTTTTAACTGTCAAAAAATGATGTCCTCAGTTAAAATACACACATGTGAAAAGATTATTCATCAAACAATATTTTGTACGGTAGTTTTGTTTTAGTAAGATAAATGATAAATATAAAGGAGAGTTAATGTCTGTTGATTGTAAAATTACCGAATGTCACATGGAAAACCCAATGGAAAATAAACCTTGGCAACGTTCACGCCAATCAGAACACGGTAAAGTGTGTTAAAGGTTAATAACCTTGTGGCAAGCGTTGGAAAGCTGTTTACGACAGTGAGTAAAAAACAAAGGAAATTTGGTCCAGCATGACTAGCCTTAATTTGGCAAGGTAGTGATTTCTATATTTCCATTAGTATTGCATCGTTTTGCAGGTTCTGCTTCAAATTACGGTAAACAACAACAACGTGGTCTTTATCTGTAGCTAGTAGTGTAGAGAGGCCTAGGCTATGCACGATGTTTATGGCCTTCTCCTTGCCCTAAATAAAGCTATGCGACAGGTTTAGTATTTCAGTGATTAATCAAAAATAAAGGAATGGACATATACAATTGACGATTGTGTGTGTGTTTTGTTATCCTTTACAAGTTGATATAAGGCCCAGCTCCTATCCTATCTGCGGTCGACTGAAAATCCCAATGCGAACGGCAAAATAACATACAGTATTGTATGTACACATGGAGTATTGTATAGCCAATGATAGGGCTAGTAAAATAGCTTGTGGGCTAGCAAAATCTACACTAAACTAGCCCAGTTGGCTAGTAAAAAAAAAAAAAAAAATCGAGCCCTGGCCGACGTATTTGCAAAGGTGCCCCAAGCTCACAATTGGCCCCTGTGCAGTATCGTATGGTCCATGTGCAATATCGTATGGCCCATTTGTAATATCGTATGGCCCATGTGTAATATTTGCAATATCGTATTGTCCTTGTTCAATAGCGCATGGTCCATGTGCAATCTCATATGGCCCATGTGCAATATCATACGGCCCATGTGCATTATCGTATGGCCCATGTGCATTATCGTATGGCCCATGTGCATTATCGTATGGCTCATGTGCAATATCGTATGGCTCATGTGCAATATCGTATGGCCCATGTGCAATATTGTATGGCCCATGTGCAATATTGTATGGCCCATGTGCAATATTGTATGGCCCATGTGCAATATTATATGGCCCATGTGCAATATTATATGGCCCATGTGCAATATTGTATGGCCCATGTGCATGTTAAGTATATAGTATACTCTTTAATATATTTGGAATGTTTAACAAGATACAGATTTTTGAATATTAATACTCGGGAGAATGGAATTTTTTTCCCTACCATTTTCTCCCAAAAATCTGTTTCTTGATTAACTGTTTTGTTACACACTATTTTTTGTCTTGTGAAAAGTCAGTTAAAATATAATATTAAATATATCGATAAAATGTTTTCCTCCGGAGCATGTTACTATAACATTAGTTTACTAAAAATTGTATATTGATTCTAGCTAAAAAGTACACAATTCAGGAACATGAGTACCTACAGGTGACCAACATAAGCAGGGAAGATGACGGAGTATACACGTGTCAGGGTACTGTACTTACTGGAAATTTTGATACTGATAGCAGAGATATAACAGTAACGGTACTTGGTAAGTGAAACATCATTTGTTCATTTTGTGAAAGGAAAACTTGGGACTAAGGCATTAAGTTGTAGGCCATTTTCCCTTCCCCGTCGTACAGGCTACAGTAGGTCTCCCCCCCCCCCCCTCCAATGATGAGGTTATCGGATCAAAAATATAAAAAGTATAATTTGTGGTGAGTAGTATTAGGCTGTGTTTTATTAACATACTCTGTTTTACCAAGGCAATTCATTAAAAGGATGCTTATCTCGGGACATCAAATGAACTCTGGCATCAACATTCTACGCACTGCAAGATCCTGTACGCTGGACTGAAATCAATCACTGCTTTGAATGCTCACAAGAGCCAAGGCAATACTAAACTCTTAGTGTGTTAGGAACACCAACAGGACATAAAATCAACACGCCTCTCCGTTACAAAAATAATGCGCTGGGGCTCTGTCTAGAGGCTAATGTCTTTGTCATGTAGCACTAATTCCTAGATATGTTGAATTGATTTGATTTGTTGCTGTACGGTGGTTTATAGGATACACTTCGCAGAAAAAATTTGCAAACAATTTAAATTTTCTGTATCTACTCAAATGTTAGTTTTGTGGGCCTTAGACTAACATGTGCAGGCATACTCAAGAAATTTACTGACAAGGGTACGTCCTAAGGGGCCTCGTTCCACGTCCTGGAATAAAAAAAAATTCCTCTTAAGGTTCACAGAGAGAGTTTTTATGACTTAGTTATTTTGTCCAAATTGTACTTTTACTGTAGACTGCAATATCAGGGATTGACAATCAAAATAATGGTATTTGGATCTACGTTCGATTTTAGAAATATCCGTATTTGAGCTTCTCAGTGAACAAAATGCATAAGGTTTTTGTATATATTCTCTGTGAATAATCTGATATGTAAAGTGTAGTGCCTAATTTTAAGAATGTGAACCCAACATAGGTTGTTAGTACTGATTTTTTTTCTGCCAGGACATTTGGAAAAGCCATTTCCAGGTTGATTAATTGATTAATACAGTTGAACTTGCTTAATTTAAATCCAAAATGGCATTGAAATATTGTTCGACTTAAATAAATTCCACTTATAGATTGTTAATTAATGAAAAACACAACAATTTGGCATGTAAAATAAGAAACTTAGAAATTAGTTGACTTAGGCAAGTTTAACTGTACCTTTAATTTTGACAGTCTCTAGAATTCATTTCACTTTTGGTGAAAACCATGTTTGTGTGTTCTAATATTTTACTTCTGTTTTTCTTCAGTGCCTCCCAAAATCATACTAGCACCAGAAGACTTCAATGGTACTCTCGGCAAAAATGCCCAATTCAAGTGCATCGCTAACGGAAACCCTCAGCCTGTGTACACTTGGGAAAAAAACAATGCTCTAATTTCATATGGAGATCGGATTTTCATCCAAAGTGGTGGTGAGGTGCTGGTGATCAATGATCTGCGAAGTGATGATTTCGGCTCGTATAAGTGCGTTGCAAGAGTTGAAGGCTTGCCAAATAGGGACGCTGATCATTCTGCTATCCTGCTTGTGTTCACGCCACCGCAGGTCCAGGCGGGTACTGAAGTAACAGCTGTAGAAAATGAGGAGGTTACTTTGAAGTGCAGCGTGGTCAGTGGTGACAACTCGGAGCTTACTTGGCGTAGGTTTGGAGAGGATATGCCTTTAGGACCTCAGGTAAAATATAGTGTAATTCAGTCCATTTCAATTTTTAAACATTGTTTAATCACTGTCACTGTAATATGTATGATTTTTAGTTCATATAAAAGTGATGATGTCATGTAATAGGAACTCTTCTAATCACTTTTGTATGTATTTTTGTTTTCGGATGTGTAGAAAACAAAAATAATTCTGTAGTGTTGCCTTGATCGGCCACATTTTATGACATCTCTGGAGTCTCTGGTTAGCCCTAATTATTGTCTCTCTCCCCTATTACTGTTGAAATTTTAATATATTCGAGCACACAATATTTACTCCTCAATGAAATTTGACCAAAACGTGAAATGTTTTCTGATGAGGTCATGATCATGCATAGAAATGTTGACATCTGCAAAGCTCTGGTTTAAAATGGAACTTGCAAATCTTGAATTGAACACTTATATAGTCCATTATAAGCCCTCTATGCACTTCATTATTATTACCCCGGTCAATTAATAGGTTAATCCATTATTTAAAAAAGTAAACAAAATATACAATATTAACTGGAGAGAGGGTGTTGAAAGTAAGGCCTCCCTCGCCGGTTACTCATTAAAGATAAATTAGAAAGTGACTTATTAAATTAGATTTTGAAGGATCATTGAAATTTATACTCTAATAGTACATTGTCCTTGTATTGTAGAGTTTCTAGATGGTCTGAAGATAAAAATTTCTTTTTGCAATAGAATTAATGAAGAAGATATAATGCTGTGTTCATTAGACATAGGCTTAGCCAGCGAGCCGCCCGGCCGGTTTTTTGACGCCAACAATTATTTAGGACGGCCACTTTTACCGTAATGGCTTGGACGCCTTGGCCTAATCAGCTAGGCCTAGCCTACTTGGGCCTGGTCTACCTTTAGCAAAATCTTTATATTCTTCAAATCTATCAAATGTTACACTAAACTAAAGTTAAATCATATTTACGTTTGATAAAAACAACATTTATTGATTGAATGTACGTTGTTTGCATACAAATATTCGGTGGGGATTCCCAAAAATGTCAGTTTTAACTATTGCCTGCCTGGTGAAAAGTTCACACTCGTGTTAAAAACAATTACGCTTCGCTGGAAAATGGACGGTTGTCAACGCATGCACGTGGATCAGCAATTACAACACTTGCGGTTCGGTTCCTTGACATAATATTGTTGGTGTTCGTAACTCTCTGGTTATAATTAGTTCATGAAATACTGTAGTTAAGAAGATTTGTTGTTAACCTCACAAGTTAAATTTTATTAGTCAAAAAAATACAGTAGGTCTAGGCCTATTTCTCGATTCGGAGGACCTAGAGTAGAATTTACACTAGACTAAGGCGAGAAGAGATGAAGATGAATCTGCAAGCATAACTTAGAAAAAAATATCGTAGCTGTGCGCAATCTAGGCCTACGTACATAACTGAAATATCTTGTGATAGCTAATTCAACATTATTCCTTTGAAGACAAAATTCCAAAATTTAACACATTTAAATGCCCTGTAAAGATCATGATTTTCTATTTTTTTTCTTATGTTTGGGAGTAGGCTTCCTTGTTTGACCGCCTATTTTATTTTTCTGGCTAAGCCTCTGTCATTAGAACTTGTGAAAACTGATTTCACAACTTGTAACATGCGAGAACATGAGAAGAGTGCATTCATTTGACAAATGCTAAAATGGCATTTTTTTTTTTTTTTTATATTAGGGATTTCGACAAGCGCCCCCCCACACGGATGTGCTCCTTGGCCTAGCCTAGTGTAAAATAAGCGTGAATTAGGAATCTGTATAGTGCTTTCAGAACGTTGTGCAGTACAAATCATGACATACAAAAAACAATATTACTTAAACAAATTGCAACATCTGCTCGTTTGTGTTACATCCGCCATTTTCCACACTACTTGTGCAAATCGTGGAAGAAAATTCTACTCGAGTTCACAACTTGTGTTTGCAAGTTCACCGACCATATGAACACGTAGTTACTAGTAGTTAAAAATGTTAATCATTTTTTTGAGTGCCATCGATCAAAAACTGTGTGTTTGGATTATTATTACTACTTCTGAGTACTGAAGAATGGTTTAGTGCAGCATACCAATGCAAACTGTTGTTTTCCACACCCATTCAAAGTGAGAATGAAGAATTTTTGCTGTTCAAAATAACAAGAATCAATATATTTTTTTTAAATAATATATAAAATAAATAAATAAAATAAATAAATAAATTACATTCCTTGCCTTATTTTAACATTTTTAATACATAGAACATTCTAGAATAACATTTAATGACCAAATAAACAGTGTAAACCACATTGGTAATTATAGGAACACATGTTGTAGTTAAGATGTCCTTGGTATGACGTTAAAATGCATCCGCTCGAATCGCCGGCGACCTAACTGGCAGAGGGCGGATGAACTTCTCAGAGCCAACGGCCAAACCATGCTTAGTTGAAGGAGTAGGATTAGTTAAGTATCATTATATTTGTATTCTTATTTATGTTATGTTAAGTGCATAGAGGTCTCTATGATATGCGCTCTATAATTCGACCATTATTATTATTATTATGATACCATGTAGAATCCAAGAGTAATATTTGGAAGCTTCTGGAATCTTGGGTATTATAGAGGCAATAAGCCTAATGGTTAATTATGATGTAAGGTGAATAGTCTTGAATGCTATGGAGTTCTAGGGCTAATAGAAAGTGAGAATTTGGTCTTTCAAGGGAGCTCTTTTTTGAAACACATGTTTGTGAATGTTATTGTGTCATTTTGAGACCGGATTCTTGTTGGAGTTTATACAGAATAAAAGTTTATTTGAGAGTTGTGTTACAACATTGTGAGCTGTGTTTGTATTTTATATATTAAAGAGGGATACCTAGTCATTTCTTTATCGCTCGGAAATACGTCAAGTAGGAATTCATGACAAAAACATTAATGTTAGTATCTTGTATTTTTCTCTAGCCGGGATCTGCTGATATTGAAGTTCTTTCAAAGCAGAATGGAAAGTTATTGGAGCTGAAATTTTCCAGTGTAAAGCGAAGTTACAACGGATCGTATGAATGTTTTGCCAAAAACGCAGGTGGTGAAGATAGTGAAATCTCTAACCTAACTGTAAATTGTAAGTAATAAATTGACTACATATTCCTTTACTCTACCACTCGCACCTCATTGGTTCTTGAGGCCTTGTAAATCATTTCTGTCCACTTCTTCCTGTCCTCATGTCTGCTACATCATTCTCTTTCTCCTTTGTATCTACGAAGTTTCTCTTTATATGTCTTCCACGATTTTTTTTTTCTTTCTGATGCCCACAAAAGAGTAAAATGGTGGTCCTAGTACATGTGCCTAATGACACAGTGGAGTCAAATTGTACAGCAACCAGTACCTCCCTCACACCCCCAAGAAATGAGTAAAGCATACATTTGACTACATAATTGTGTATTTTCATAAGCTTGAGGTGGGGGTATTAAAAATAAAGAAAAACTTTTATTTTTTTCCCTGAAATTTCCACATTTTCATGGCGGCAGATGCACTAATAAGCCAAAAATAAAATTTTATTTTTATTAGAAATCGAAAATATTGGTGAGCTGTGGGTTCGCTAGGAAAAAAAAGTCTTGCCCTACATGCGACTTGCTTTACTTGTTTCATGAGGAATATGATTTGTAACACACCCAATGAAAATAATAAAAATAAAGAAGAGCTCAGTTTGGAAATTGGAAAATGAATAAATGGTAGATAACCAATTGACCTAATTATATTTCCTAATTATTTTCTTATGTTTAGTTAAACCTGTTCCTGATTCTGCTCGAAATCAACATGAAGCTTACACAGGCTGGATTGGTAACCCTGTGACCTTGACATGCTACTGGTTGGCAAACCCGCCTGCTAAGTACTTCTGGAGAATCGTAGGTCAAGAAAGCTCCAACCTCACGGCACCAAAGTTCACCACATCAAGTACTAATGATGGCGCCAGCAGTCTTACGGTAAGGTCAATCAACAAGGAATTGTATAACGCCAATATCCACAGCAGAATGCAGTATTCAGTGGTACAATGGTATTAACATGTTCGCTGTAATCTTGTCCCATAACGTGTTGCTGAGGGCATTAGGGATGACTTATTCTTGTCAAAACTGGAGTAACATTCTAGAGTTTATTAATTAATTGTTATACATTGTAGAACCATGGAGGTATTATTGAGGAGATCACTCGAAAAAGCTCCATGCATGCAACTCTATGCAAACAACTAGGTGAAGGGTTTGGAAGGGGTATATTCCTAACTAGAAATATTTTGATGGTCATACAGGGCATCTCGACCTTAAACATCAAGCGAGCGACTGCATGAGAGGCGTGTTTATGATTTCTTTTCTTTGCTGTTTGCTGCTATATTTCTTCCAATTTGTTTAAATCGCTATCATTTGTGGGGGCAATATATATTTTCCCACCAATATATTACACACCATTTTGATATGTGACTTAGTAACATGTCAGAAAAGTATATTTGTACATATATTGTTTTGACACTTGGAACAAAAAAAAAAGGGGAAAAAAAGAGGTCTGGCAGTCAACGTGTTAACCAATATTGAAGATCATTAAAAAATATATATGTATCATTTCAAGATTACAAAATCTGAAAATGCCTGCTCTAGGAAAGGATCCCCAAAAACCCAGAATAAAAGTGGAAATAGTTCTCCTCTTTGAAATAAAAAGTGTTTGGGTGCGGAGAGGAGCGGAGTGAAGAGAGTTGTAGCGGTTGATAGTAATTTAGGAACATATTGGAGATTTATTTTATAGATAGGGATTTGCGGTGGGCGGAGATATGCTTTCTACTGAGTGCTCTTGTTATTAATATTATTATTATAGGTAACAAGATAAAAAATAAGTAGCCTTGCTGTGATGTATTGTCAGTGCATAAATCAGTTTTTTTTCTTAACAGTTTACACCAGATGAACCCGGAGATTTTGCTGTATACGAATGTGTGGCTTGGAATACAATACAACTCAAAGAAATGTCAACTCCTCATACTGTTGAATTGAAATCTGCGGGTAAGTCATCTAAAGATAAGCTAAAAACTTATTCCTGTTTTTGGAAATTCTTTGTTCGCATACAGAAGTTACAATATAAAATACAACTACCATAATAATCGTACATTTTGTACGCTTTATTTCAGCGCTTATTAAAAAAATATTGGACTGGCGCTTTCCATGCCCTTTCCAGGTTAACTAAGGACATTTTAAACAATGATCAGTTTGCCTATAGAGAGAATCGTGGTGTAGAAGACACCATTATTACACTTACTCATAGGGTAATTAAACATCTTGAAATACCCAAGTCCAACGCTAGACTACTTCTAGATTTCTCCTCGGCGTTCAACACAATCCAACCTCATGTGTTAATTAACAAACTTAAGTCTATGAATGTTAATCCTGTGTTAAATATGTGGGTAGCTGATTTTCTCAAGTCTTTTGAAATGTAGTACTGGAGCTCCTTAGGGATGTTCACTTTCACCACTACTGTTTTCATTGTACTCTAATGATTTTTCTCCACCTGATATAGTGATAAGACAAAATGTAACAAAAGAATGTATTTCTTCCGTAGAATGAAAATATTTAATGTTAAACCCAATGTATTAACTATGTTTTATGTATCTGTTGTACAATCAGCTCTAAATATTTGTAGTATCATTTGGTTTAATGAACTGAACAATAATTAGAAGAAACTTATAATAGGTACAGATGTTAAGCAATTAAAATGTTTATGTAATGACATGTTATCTAAGAAATTACAATGCATAATGTCTGATACTACCCACCCAATCCATGATGCCGTTACTCTCAGTAAATCTTGTTGATTATTTCACCCTGAAGTAAAGACTTCAGACTTTTTAATATGCAGTTCAACAGATAAACCATATTGTACAGTTTGTCTTGCCTTTCCATAACACTCGGTAATTCTTGCAGTGCATTTTAATTCTAAGCAATTTCTGTTATGCAACTTTTATGTATTTTAATTATTTTTCTTTATTACTAATATGAGTGTATTTAAGGATCCATATCTTATACCTGTATTTATACCGTTGTGACAGTAAAGTTCTATCCTATCGTATCGTATCATTTGAAATATCTCGTGTATTCCTGCGGCCCTATATAACCCTGGCTGTTTTACTTGTGAAATTTTGTGTTATTTTCTGTTCAAATTAGCAAAGTATATATATTGGTGTATAAGCTGCAAATTTTATACGCGATTTCGACCTCAAAATTTGGGGTGCTGCCTACACACCTGTCCAATAATTAACCTAAATACGGCTGCCTACCTGGGGAGGAATGGGGATTTCCCTAGGCAAATATGGTAATGTTTTGCATTACAAGCACTTCTAGATGATTGTAATCGGCCGATAAAGTTCAAATTTCATTATTTTAATATTTGTAAATAATGGTTACCCATTCTAAACATAAGAAACCTCTGTTTATTTCTGTTCAATTTGGTTGGGTACTCATGAAAGTAAATTGGCAAATGAAAAAAAAAGGGGGGGGGGGTGTGGGCATTTATTAAAGACAATACAGTATTTTGGCTAGTTGTGAGCTCTATCTTCGGGAAAAATCTCTTTTCATTTATTGATAATTTTTAATGAATTATGATTTTCTTGTATTTGACAGCTCCTCCTGATGCTCCTACAGTTGAGGTAATTAAAGTATCACCAACGGAAATCACACTTCAGATTATGGAGGCTGACTATGATGGTGGTCTTCCCTTGACTGGCTATAATATATCTTGGAAATATGAATTTGAAGGCAACGATGTTACTAGGTCTGCGATTCATGACTACAGTAAGGGTGTTTTTGTATTGAATCATTAATACAACAGTCCTGTCGTCACGACGCCAGGTGGTGTTCTCTGTTGTTAACAGATGTTGGTTACCGTTCATTATGCCTGAATGACTTCATAGGCTTTCTGGAATAGGCATTTTAAAATCTAATATTTTACCATCAAAGTGTACTAAAAACATACAAGCTTGCATTATGTTTGTTATCGAACACACATTTAATCATCAATTAAAATTTACTAGATATAACATCTTAATGATTATGTTAGACATTGGGATCAATGGTTTGTCAGTAAAGAAAATGGCGCCCGGTTGAACGCTTTTTGCAACGATAGCAACAGAGTAGTATCACATGTTATTGTGATGTAACACTGTAGTACTCTATAAGAATACAGTGAAACCTATTTTAAATATCCTTGGGGTCCAATAGTTGTTTGTAAATAGATATAGAAATTTGTACAGATACATTGTATCATGTGGAATTTTCAAAAAAATTTCAGATTACCTAACCTAATCAAGCATGGAAAATAGTGTAGGCTTAGGACAAGATCTATTCATGAATTATGCCATATCTGAATGGTGATTGGACAGTGGACATAAAGTTACGCTTAGCCCCGCTCTTGTGTATTTGTTGCTCAGGTCCAAAAAATCTACTGTTAAAACATACACAAATGTGTGTATTCTTGGCCGGCTTCTGATTGGTCAATTGTTTAATTTTCACTCCGGAAAAGTCCATTTTGTTTTGCCAGCTTTTCAGCCAGGGTCTGAATGCATAGCTAGGCATTCAAATTGAAGATCAGTTTAGAATAATACTACTATTACTTCATAATAGCAAAATATTTTAAAAGAAATAGGATTTTAAGACAATATATTCGTTTGTTTCAAAAGCAGGCCGTTCATAAAATCAAAGAATAGTAAAATGGGCATTTTCGTAAAGTGGATGTTCCACCGTAATAGAAAATGTTTAACATATAGAGTATCAACTGAAGGCAAGATAAGCTTTATTGTACTTGCAAGTAACCTATTGTTGTTAATTATTTATTTATTTATTTGAACATACACCTTTGAATCGGTGGCACTCAATATCAATTGGTGCGTTCGTACAAACAAAAACAAAAAAGGGAAAAATTTAACAAACAAAATAAATAACAATCGACTGTAAATAATATTACAAAATTAAAGAAAGGTAGAAAAATAACATATGAAATTAGATGAGATCACATTTCACATCGCATTTCATACTCAGAA